GGGGGGGGGGGGACTAACCTCGTCTCCTTAACCTGATCGTGGAACGGGTCGAAATGAACGTTGATCCTGTTAATGGGCTTTAGATTGACGCGCTTCAGCTGCTTTACGATCGCGCTCATCAGCCCGCCGGAGCGGGAGAGGGTCCCGGAGAAGTGAATCGACATCTCGGTGCCGCGACGTGAGCACGAGAACCTCGTGAACGCGAAACACGTACCGCTCCGACCGCTCGCGCTTGCGGCGTCACCGCCCGGAACTTGCCGCGCCAAGCCAATGCTGCCAACATTGGCCAGTTGGCGAACTCGTTGCCGCAGGTTGGCAGTTGATCGGCCTTTACGCAACGCGTCACCGTAATCATCGATGCCACTGACGTCTTTTTTTTCCTTTATTCTATTTTATAAATTATCGTTTGTAAATAAAATAAAATAAAACACAGTAAAGGGCCTCATTCGCGGATGAAGCACTTCCTAATCTCGCATAATATCCTTGATAAGGATATATGTGTATATTATGTGAGATTATAAGGAACAACGACCGATAAAAAAATTTCTTACTGATCAAGTGATCACGCGATAAGAAATTGATAATTCGAGACGTAAGCGTTGCGTCATTTTTATCGATATCTACGATTCGCATTTGATAGCGCATTCTGATATGTATGTACATGTATGATGTAAAGTAAATGGCTTATTTTTTTTATTAATTATTTACATCTCGGCCAATTTATATAAGTCGATTCGATCAATTTACCGACTGCAGGCTTTGTTTGAAATCACTAAAATCTAATTAATTTTTATTATTTTCATTTTAATATTTGTAGTTGCATCATTATTCAATAAAGTTATGTCATTATCGTTTTTACTATTAAAGGACTATTAGATGATCAAACTTTAATTAACTTATCCAGCAATATCTATTTTATTTTAATACTTATAAAATTATTAATCTTATACTAATATTTGTTTCACCATATGAAAGGAAAGATCGATAATTAGACAATGAATTATATATAGTTAGAAATTCTACTGTGAGTAATATTGAATTAATTATCGATTAAATCAATCGGAGCTACGTCAAGATCGCTTATAGGTAACTTTGAAACTCTGATTAACTTAATTGGCGATTAACTTATCAAGTAACACCATTGTTGTGGATAAAATTAATTTTTTTTGCTATTTAGCATTTGGAAATAGGATTAGGATTAAGGATGATGAATTAGGCAGTTAGAAATTTGGCCTCGAGCAAAATTCTGTCGATTGAATTAAATTAAGTCAATCGGAGTTTGATCGAAGTCTTTTCACGATGCGCGTTAGATCACAAGATTATGAATACAGCAGTATCTGTCAATAGCAAAGATGAGAAATGATAAGGAGAACACAATGACGCGTCGATCGAATCTTTACGGATTGGTGTCTCATCGCTATTTTTATCCGTTATTCTCTCGCTATGTTAATCGAACTATCGTATTATATAGAAAAGTCGTGATATCGTAGCACACATCGATATCGGCAGACGTTCGATGTTTTATTTACTCGAAAGAAAACGCGCAACGTCGAAAACTTTAACGTGCATCAACGAAAATTCTCGGGATGATCGGACGCGAAAGTTTTTCGAGGAGACTCGATCGGAGCAGTTCGAACGATTCGCAGATACCGCGCGCAGCCAACGTGCGGGCGAGCGAGGCGCCGCGAACTGTCGACCGCGACGGGCGATTGGCCGCGGCTCGGCCAATGGGCGTCGCGCTAGCGGACGCCATTGCGGAGGGACAGGTCTCGTTTGGTGGTGTCGTTCGCAGTGTGTGTTGTGGGGAAGCGTGTGGTGTGGCCAGTGGGGTCTTGTGTTGAATTTTTTTACTTATTTATTAGTGGTTATCTGGTCTTTTACACTCGACGGCAGCGAGAATGTACCCCGCAGGACAACGTGAGTGCCGTCGTGCCGTCGTACCCTCGCGAGGGTCCGCGGAAATCCCTGTAAACACGCTCCGAACCATCCCCACGGACGTTCCTCGACGAGCGAGCTCGCGGGCTCGTTCGTCTAATCCGCAACGCATGCACACACGCACGCTCGCTCGCCCGCCCGCCCGCCTGCTCTTGGCTTCCGGGACGCTCGCCACGCTGCTCCACGGACACGTTCCCCCACGTTTCGGAAAACCATCGCGGGGAAACGTCGCGACGCCCGTGCGTGAAGACACGCCGAATGACCTCGGATGAACCTCTCGTTCAACAGGCACGCGTGTCGTCACTCACCCGCGGACTCGACGGCCTCCACGCGTTAGCTAATCCTGATCTAGCGTCTCCCTCTAGATTATGATCTTATCTATTGCTGTGCAAACAAAGGATTCAGGCATTTTTAGGCGTTTGGAACGGTGATAGAGAAAACCTACTGACCTTTCGTATTCCATCAGGAAATTGATGATTTACCGTACCCCGTTTGCCGTCCCTTTGCTTGGATCTCCGTTTGAAATGCACATGGAAATTTGTCCCGAATTTAAGCGAGCCAGCTGTGTGTGTCACATGTTTCCGACATGAGTCATTATTAGAAGACTGTCCCCGAGCTAGAAGCATTGAAAAGAGTTTGTCAAACGTTGGCAGCATTAAGAAAATATATAATTCATATACTTTAAAAATTATGAAAATTATTGAGACTATGACAACTTGTTATATTTCGATAACAATGTATAATCTATTGTAATTCTTTTGGTGACCTATATCGATTTATGAAATAAACATGTAGAGACTATTTTTTTTAAATATAAGTTCCTTAAGCACATTGTTAAAATACTATTTCATTCAACGTAATGACAAACAAAATATAAAATACAAAAATTGGTCAACGTAGGTAATCAGTTTTATCAGTCGATGAATGAACTAAGTGATTCCCCGTACTGAATGGCTACAGAATTTCTAGAGATTTGAGAACGATTCTCCTTGGTAACTAATCAATACGTCTGAAAAAATCATTGGACGATAAATGAAATATTAACTTAAGGATATTGTTTTATTTGTCGTAGGACATTTTTTTTTAAAACGTTTTGATTGGCTACAAGATAGAGAATTTCTGGAGACTGGAAAACTTTATTATTCTGTACTAGCCAATCGACACATTGAAAAATTTATTATATGTGACAAATGAAAGTGCTCTTAGCTCTTGTTCACTTCAGTTTGTTCTAATATTTCATCATCAGTGCTGAAAATCTATAGTGTTTAATGAAACTACTGATTTTTAATAGTGACAGCTGACAATAAATATTGAAATACAGCTTTAAAATAATAAAGATTTTTAATACTGTCAGTTGATAATAAATATCGAAATATAGTTTTAAAATAATGAAGTTGTCAATGATTAACATATTAATTTGAAATGTCTAAAAATTATTATATTAATATATCATAAGAATAATGACATAATTTATTTTTTAATAAGTTAGAATATATATATATGTGTAAATGTAGGTACACTTCCAAACAAGATTAACATTTTTTTAAATAAAATGCTATTTGTAAAATTTATAACAATATGTCTAATTATTGTGATCTAAAAATTTGATAATTAGAAGATGTTTGCATGACATATAATGTTAGTTTATAAATAAATTGATAAATACGTTTATCAAAAATAGATATTGAAAGCTGTACTTCAATAAAGAGATTTTAATATTTGAATAAATAATTAAACATATAAACAATTGATATCAATAAAATGTTGAAATATAAATAATATAATAAGAATGTAAAGTGTATGTAACATAAGTACAACAATAGCAATCTTAATCTAGATTCAATATTGAGAAAGTTAAACTTAGTAGCATTAATATTTAATACTATCATTAATTGTATTTATTTATTCTGCTATGATACTGGAGTAATAGCAAAATATGTTTATACATACATTTATGTATATGACATATGTGATATTTTTACGCATGTTGGAATATACCATTTGTTTAAGATAGGGAATTGACGTTGTTGAAAGTATATCTTGTTAATTATCTTGTTAAATATGTCCAGAGATGTTTTTCTGCATTTTGTTATAATCACTGACGTAAAAAAAGAAATGGAAGATACTGTAATCTGCTAACTTTGACTTAAAGTTTCTTCTTAAGCGTTAATTCTTGCAACTCATTGAGCAATTGTTTGATACAATACATTGAACAATATAATTGCATACGAAAATTTACTATTCTATTATACATTCTGATAATAATTAAGGGCACATAAACGTGAGATATAAGTAGAAACAAAAAATGAAAAGTGCCAGTAAGATTATTTCTAATTCTATGTAGACAAAATATATAAAACTAATACCGATTTCTTGAGAAACTTTATATTATTTTTGCAGCCCCCCCACCTGGACCCTCAACTAGTGGCGGTTCTGTTGGGACAGCAGGAGTAGCGGCGAGTAGTGTCGCAACTCCTAGCAATATGGGGCTTGTTCCCGCACAACAGGCACACACTCCTCCTCAACCTACAGAACTGCCAAGTAAGTATATCCAATTCTAACTTTGATATGAATAAAAAAGATGAAAAGTTATTTTTATACAAACAATTAATATTCTTTGCAGTGTTTACGTGCCCTCGAAGACCAAACATAGGACGAGAAGGTAGACCGATCGGTTTGAGAGCTAATCATTTTCAAATTAGTATGCCACGTGGCTATGTACATCACTATGACATTAGCATACAACCTGATAAATGTCCTCGGAAAGTTAATAGAGAAATTGTAGAAACGATGGTTCATGCATATACTAAAATATTTCAATCTCGTAAGCCTGTGTTTGACGGCAGAAATAACTTGTACACAAGGGACCCCTTGCCTATCGGGCATGATAAAGTAGAATTAGAGGTGAGTTATTATCTTCCAGAGAGGTCTAAAACATTGTATAATTACGCTTACAATCATTCTTTGTAGGTCACACTGCCTGGTGAGGGAAAAGACAGAGTTTTCCGAGTGGTAATAAAATGGCTGGCGCAGGTTTCGCTGTTTGCTTTAGAAGAGGCTTTAGAAGGGCGAACTAGACAAATTCCATATGACGCTGTTCTCGCTTTAGATGTTGTAATGAGGCATTTACCATCTATGACATACACTCCAGTAGGTAGATCGTTCTTTAGTACGCCAGAGGGGTATTACCATCCATTAGGCGGAGGCAGGGAAGTGTGGTTTGGATTCCATCAATCGGTGAGACCGTCGCAATGGAAAATGATGTTGAATATCGACGGTGAGTGAAAGAAAGAAAGAAAAAAAATTACCGCCCCACGCTTTATTATGACCTCGTTACTCATCCGCCTTCATTTATATTCCAGTCTCTGCCACTGCCTTCTACAAAGCGCAGCCAGTTATAGAATTTATGTGCGAAGTGTTGGATATCCGAGATATCAATGAACAGAGAAAGCCGCTCACGGATTCTCAGAGAGTGAAATTTACCAAAGAAATCAAGGGTCTCAAGATTGAAATAACTCACTGCGGAGCTATGAAGCGAAAGTATAGAGTGTGCAATGTTACACGCAAACCAGCTCAAATGCAATCGTAAGCATTGAAATTATAATGTCACAAAATGTGAAACCTAGAGAAACATAATCTTAATTGACTAATTTCATTATAGATTTCCATTGCAACTGGAAAATGGACAAACAGTTGAGTGTACAGTTGCCAAATACTTCTTAGATAAGTACAAAATGAAGCTGCGCCATCCACATCTTCCTTGCTTGCAAGTCGGCCAAGAACACAAACACACGTACTTGCCGCTCGAGGTACGCAAAAAAATTTTGGATTTCAGTTTAACAATGTATTGCATTTTATTGAAGAATAAAATGTAATTATTTGATATTAGGTTTGCAATATTGTTGCCGGACAACGCTGCATTAAAAAGTTAACCGATATGCAGACCTCGACTATGATCAAAGCGACAGCACGTTCCGCGCCAGATCGTGAACGGGAAATTAACAATCTAGTTAGAAGGGCTGACTTTAACAATGATTCTTATGTACAAGAATTTGGATTGACTATATCGAATAGTATGATGGAAGTCAGAGGTCGTGTACTACCTCCGCCCAAACTGCAGTATGGAGGGCGCGTAAGTTCCCTCAGTGGACAGGTGAGAAATTTTCAACTGAATCAGTTAGGTCTAGCCGAATCACACATTCGCAGAGGCTAATAATTTTGATTATTTTTAGCAGGCATATGTTTTTATAGCGCCAAATATTTGATTATTAAATTATTTATCATAGTTTTTAGATACTCATATAATCTGCAAAGTAAAACTTATTAGATATGAAGGATATAAGATATGATTAAGTTAGTTTTTATTCTTGATTTTGATTTATTTAAACTTTATTTTATGATTCACGTATAATAGCGTTCACGATACTTGTATTTTGTAACTTATATCGCGATGATAATATTGCCAGCGTATGTATTTAGTTATTAAGATCATATTTGATATACATCTCTACACATGTGGCCAGAAGTTGTCAAATGAATGCATGGGTTCTAGACCTGGTTGATTTGATATCTGGGCTGTTAGTGTAACGAATGTTTCAAATTGTCATCGTGATAAGTTGTAAATGATAAAATGTAACGAGTATCGTTTTTGCTGTATATATAGTAGTCGTAGCTTACGGTTTACAAATGTAACTGATGTTACATTTGCAGTCCGATATCACTTGCAAAAATCAGATGCTATCAGTATTTGTTCCATGCAGACTAGACAGAATAATTCTACTAGGCTACTAGAATTGTTTATGTTTGTTATATAAATATTAAACAAGTTGTATTTAAATAAAATGAATGAGACATGTATGTTGCCCATGGAAAACACTGATGCATCATCTACTGCGATATAATTTTGTATTATATGAACATGTTGTTCAAACACTTAGTAATGTATATCTCTTCCTAAAGACGAAGCAGCAGGCGATGCCTAATCAAGGCGTGTGGGATATGCGTGGCAAGCAGTTCTTCACTGGAGTGGAGATACGAGTGTGGGCGATCGCTTGTTTCGCGCCTCAGAGAACAGTACGCGAAGATGCGTTACGTTCATTCACCACGCAACTACAGAAAATTAGTAACGATGCTGGCATGCCCATCATTGGACAACCATGTTTTTGTAAATATGCCACTGGACCAGATCAAGTCGAACCCATGTTTCGATACTTGAAGTCGACTTTCTCGCAGTTGCAGCTAGTTTGTGTTGTATTACCAGGCAAAACTCCTGTATATGGTAATTATATTTCATAAATATACATATACAGGATGTTATAAAAAAGTTGTTAAGTTAAAGTTATTTATATGATAGTACATTGTACTGAGTAAAGAAAAACTTTAATGAACAGATGGAAAGCTCAATCATTTGAAATATAATTTTGAAATATAACATTTTTGTATGTTAGCATCATGATTGATGCTTCGCTGGTTTCTACGTGTGGCGTTTCTATGCTGCTTATTTCAGTTTTTATAAACCGCGTCCTGAAGGTCTTTGTTCAATTTCTATACATACTTTCCATACATACTTTATAACATTGCATGCGCACGTATAATAGAAGCCTGTAAAATCAATTATGATGTTTACATACAAATATATTTATATCTAAACTTTTGATCTATTCATTAAGGTTTTTTTTTACTCAGTATTGTGTGTTATATCTACGATCTAAATGCTAAATGGTTTTCTTTAACATCCTGTAGATAGAAATCTGAAATATACAGTACAGACTAAATCATCTATTTTTTATTTACGGTTTACTTTGCAATATTGTAATTATTTATAATTTTTATATATAAATTGAGATAAATTGAAATAATTTGCACTTTTCTCTTTTCTTTTTTTTAGCTGAAGTGAAAAGAGTAGGAGACACATTATTGGGCATGGCAACTCAGTGTGTACAAGCGAAAAATGTCAATAAGACATCGCCGCAAACATTATCCAATCTCTGTCTTAAAATAAATGTCAAATTAGGAGGCATCAATAGCATTCTAGTACCTAGCATAAGACCAAAAGTGTTTAATGAGCCGGTCATATTTCTTGGAGCTGACGTGACCCATCCGCCGGCGGGAGACAACAAGAAACCCAGTATAGCTGCTGTAGTTGGCAGCATGGATGCCCATCCATCTCGGTATGCAGCGACTGTTAGGGTTCAGCAGCATAGACAAGAGATTATCCAGGAACTCAGTTCGATGGTTAGGTGAGATATCTAAATTAATCTATGGAATTTCACGCAACAAACGTTTGATAAATCTTTGAATGCTTTAAATCTGTAAAGTAAAACAAATGGTGGTATCCGAATAAATGTGACATCAAAATTTTTTTCGATGAATTTTTTTTGCTATAAACTTAATTATTATGTGAGATTATTGATTAGTTTCTGAATAAGTTACAAAATTACATGCTTTAAAAAAATTATCGTATTATGGAAAATATTGTCGCATTTATTTTAGTTTTTCATAATTTGTTCTACACTTTATTCTTACTCTGAATATCATCTAATCGATCTATTTTTCTTTCAGGGAATTGCTTATAATGTTTTACAAGAGTACAGGCGGATATAAGCCGCATAGAATAATTCTGTACCGCGACGGCGTCTCTGAAGGCCAATTCCTCACCGTTCTGCAGCACGAATTGACTGCCATTCGTGAGGCGTGTCTCAAGCTCGAGATCGATTACAGACCCGGCATAACGTTTATCGTGGTGCAGAAGAGACACCACACGCGTCTGTTCTGCGCGGACAAAAAGGAGCAAAGCGGTAAAAGCGGAAATATTCCGGCGGGTACGACAGTCGACGTATGCATAACTCATCCGACGGAATTCGACTTTTATCTCTGCAGTCACCAGGGTATTCAGGTAAATTTAATATAATGCGATTCTCCTCTCTTAATCTTTGACTATATAAGTATATATTTATATAGTCAAAGCTCCTTAATATGATTCGTAAAAACGTGCCTTTATTTATTCGATGTCATATGTTCTAAATACATCTATTATTTTAGGGTACATCGAGACCGTCGCATTATCATGTTCTCTGGGACGATAATCACTTCGAAAGTGACGAGTTGCAGTGTCTTACGTACCAATTATGTCACACTTATGTCCGATGCACGAGATCCGTTAGTATACCAGCGCCGGCGTACTACGCTCATCTCGTAGCATTCCGGGCTAGATATCACCTGGTTGAGAAAGAGCACGATAGGTGAGTCGAGTTGTTGTCCGTTTCTCTTTGTGGTAAACGTGATCGTATCTCGGTAGAAACAGTCAAGCGATGCCTAATTATATACACGGGAATCTTATCGTGTTTTAATTTTAACTCTACAGCGGGGAAGGATCTCATCAGTCAGGTTGCAGTGAGGATAGGACACCGGGTGCGATGGCGCGGGCAATCACGGTTCACGCCGACACGAAGCGAGTTATGTACTTCGCATAATTCTTTTCTCGTGTGAAGTTGAAGCGTCATTCGGATCGGTGTTGTTATCTCTATGAAGAAATGACTGTATATAATTGCAACTCCGTGACACAGATGTGAGAAGCTTCATCAGGCAGCCGGGACCGCAGCACGTTGCGTCACAAATTCTTTAACAGTTAGGACAATTTAACTGATCAATTTTCTTGCGTACCTTCTTCCTTTTTTTTTCCTTCTTTTTTCCTTTTCTTCACCTCCCCCCCCCTTTTTTTATCGTAAATCTATACGATACTTTTCTGTATGCATGGCACTGTATGTTTTATTTACATCTGTACAGAAGAAGCGAATTTTCGATTGATTTTTTTTGAACTTGTAGAGTAAGTTTTTACGAGAGGTGCTTTTTAATGCAGTTTATAAATCAGATTAAGAATGTTTTGCACGTTTGGGTGAGAAAGTTATCTGCGGTCGAAGTAGTTGGAAAATAAGCTAAACGAGTTCTTTCTTTGTAAAAAAAAAAAATTATGCTTGGTAAGATTAAGAAGAGAATTTCGACTTCTCTTAAATTAACTAACAAACTAAACACAAGTTTCTGTTGTATTACTAGAATACAATAGCACTTTTTGACTTAATGGTTACTCGACGAAATTTGTGTAGCATATTACGCTTATTTTTTTAGGGAACGAATTTTCCCTAGCATTTGTATGGAAAGAAAACTATGGGACAAAGAAATGAAATGACCTGGAAAAACATGAATTATATAAATCGCTATTTGCGAGACTGTTATCTTGTTGCATGTATGTATAGCTTTCATTTCGCGAGGAGTGAAACTCCATTCTGTAAATTCTGTAAATTTTAGGCTCTAATTGTGCTGAAGTGATTGGCAGAAAAAAGTAAATATCGATTGATAGTAATGATTGTAATATCTTTAGAATTGCGAATCATGTCACGTCATATCCGTTGAATTACGCCAAAAGAATAATGTCGAGAAATAACGCTATCTTTTATATAACGCACTTTTAACCAGTTCGAAAATTTCATGAGATCATTTTGAAGTAATCCTGAAGTATTCTTGAAAACCGCTGAAACAACACCAACCTCGTGTGTACACTTCGGCTGAGCAAAGCGTAGTAGATAAGAACCGTACATAATCTTCGTACATAAAGACAGCTATGTGTAGTAGAAGTAATCGAGGAGTGTTATGTAGGGCACGCGCGTTATTTATATAATGACTTCCAACATGATTTAAAAATGGCTAGTGTCCATTTGAGAGAAATCCTGTAAAAAACATGGCTTTCGACAGTCATATTTTGACTAACCAATATGATGACGTATCCATAGAAAAGTCCTGGTGTTACTTTCTTATTCTTATATTATTACTCTCTTTAATTCTGAAAAACTCCCAGATAGACACTAAGCTTTAGGATCCAAATTTAGCGTAGGTAATTAAATTAACTATCGTTATTTTACTGTTGCTAATCGTTAGGATGTACATTTTATTCGTCTCACTTTAATTTGTCATTAGACCGTTATCGTCTGCATGTTGCACAGCTCATAATCTATGCTTACGTCAACTATTAATAATGAGCATTAATAATGAGCACATTGCTGAACTAGGGATACAACCTTGCCGAAGTAACTTTATCTGTGTTAAATGCCCCTTAAACCGTGGTGACCCTGGTGGTCGGAAGTCTATTAAGAGAAAAAAATAAAAAAAGATCTGTTTTAAATATGTCACACGAGAATGCCGGGGATGAAAGTAAACGGATATCCGTGTCTGGTGTCCGAGATAAGCCGGGATATTATCTTACTCACAATCAGATCAAAGATGGCTATGAAATAAGAATATCGAATTCACGTGGCGTTAAATACGGGCAGAGGACACAAGGCCTCGTCAGAGTATGCAAAGAACTATATGAGGTAAATCGAACGTTCGCATTGATATAATGCGGAATTATCCGAACGTCAAAGCTTCATCAATTATGCTTTAACAGTGAAGTAAAGATTAGTTGTAAGATTAGTTGTAGGAGTATTATAAGAGTAAGATTTTTTTATTAGTTTTTAATGAAGTAATTGTTTTTGCTTGATAATGCCAAACTTTAGAAGTTTTGTATTTTTACTCTAATAATCGCGACTCTTGTGCAAATCTATGTCGTCTGTTGGCACAATAATTCTAGTAATGCTAAGCAAGCCTTCGAAGCAACATATATAATCCAGTCTATGGATAGGATCGTATATTAATAGAATCCTTGTTCTATTAATATACGAATAGAAATCGTATATACTAACAATTATGTATCAATTGTCACGTTAAATTATTGGGTATTATTAGAATCATTAATATATCAAGATCTCTTTTTTTTCCTACAATTATGCAAGCGTTATTCTCGTAAGAATCGAATTCCTGTGTTCCAATCAAGTCACGATCCACATTTGTAAATCAGTATTAATAATAACGATGTTTACTCTGAGAGAGAGAAAGAGAGAGAGTATTCTTGGGAAATTGTTACTTCTTTTGAACCATCGAGAGGGCAAAAGAGTGATAGTGCTATTTTTGACTGTATTAATGATTCTAATGTTCTAGATTTACAAAGGACACAATGTTAACATTATATCGGAAAGTATGGAAAGAGGACCCCTTAATCTATTAGTAATATTTATTCTAGTTGTTAAAGTAAAGGACGGGAAATTAAAGATGACCTCTTTTTCGGCGCACTCAAACGCGAACATCCGCGCCGCATTGGAGATCTTCAATAAGCTTTTATTGTCTACAACATTTGTTTGGAGGACGGTCGTATACTTAGTTATAGTTGGAGAGCGTAGTCAGGTCTACTGATTAACTGGACGAAGCAACATATATCTATCATATAGAAATAAGGAGAAAAGTAAAACAGAAAAAAAATGAAGATTATTCGCGTTGTTGAAGATGCATTATTATGCGAATAAAACGCCAACGTAATATATTATGTTTCGTTATCTTATGTAACTGTAATCGAGTGATGTGAGAGGGGGGGGGGGATAGACATATAAGGCCATTTACGGATGACTACTGAATTAGATTTTAAGGCAAATCATGAATGAATAAGTTAGCCGCGTAATATTATCGATAATATTATTCCAGTGAAATACCAAAACGAGACTGGGTCTGTCGCAAGATTTAATTGACTCTAAGTTTCAGTCGAGTGCGTTAATAACCGTACGACGAGCCTACGAACGCTGAAACGGTTCGAAGTAACACTTCCGTCAGCGTTCCGTCTAACACTTGACAAGTATTTATATCCGTTCATATAATTGATTGGTAACATTGCTCTTTGTCCGCGAAGAAAACTTATTTCAATGCAAACGCGGATGTACCGGACGTTATTAATGCACTCTTTTTTTTCTATGACATTCTTCATGTATGTATGTATCTCCGTGTTGTTTTTTTTTTTAATCTCCTCGCGTTTCTACGCGAGTGAGAGCTCCCGCTCGATATTTTCCTGCGCCTGAACAAAAGAAACAGGACTAGAAGAAGACTAGTCCCTCTCATTTGTAAATACATCACAGTAATTTATTCTGTAGATGATCTCCTTTTCGGCAATGTAAATGACACAACATTTTATAGTAAGATGCGAGATTAATGAGATAAGGACGTATTATTGCGCAAGGTGTTTCATAATTTTTCTTTCCTTGATGGCAGATCGATTGTAAGATTGATCTTTTTTTTTTTCTTTTGAACGAATGTTGAATTAGGAGGCCAATAAGCGTCGCAATTTTAACTCGATGTTTTCAATTGCTGCGCTCCTGCCAAATGTAAGAAAGATACTTTTATTATTTATTTGCGCTTTTCTAGCTTGATCTGCTACAGGTTTTTAGCTTTCGATGTTCAGAAAAACTTCATGAGCCTTAGCGAAAGCCTTTGGTCGAGGAAAAAGTCAACTTCAGATTTGCTAGAGAATTCGCAATTTTGTGACGATTAATAATTCGAACTCTTCGGAGCGTGTAAAAACTGAAGTGTGTAAAAGAGCTCGGGTGTAGCCGTAGTCGGAGAATGAAGGATCGTTAACTTCTAGAAGAGAAGCTTCGTAGCGCGCAATTACGAGATGCAAAGTTTAGTGTAAAATAAAATGAGATACTCGCGATTGGATGGGCCTCCTATAGATACATGGTCCGCCTTGCGTTTAGCGCGAGACACGATCGTGTCCCGCGATAATTTATATTTATATATCCACATATATACATATAAAGACACACACGTACACAACATACACAAATTATAGTATAATTATAGTACCTTGTAAAAAAAATCTACATGTCTTACTGCACATTAAAAATAGTAAGCTATATCTTGTCTTAAAAAATCAAATGCGTCTACTTTCGAGATCTCGGTCTCCCGAACTAATGGATACAAGATGCAAGTGAGACAGACGCGCATAAACAGCAGCTAGAGCAGTTAAATGAATCACGATTGCGCAATCATGATCAAACGAATCAATAGCGCAAAAGCGTTGAAAACTTTTTGATACCGCCGGATGTAAATCCACAAAGTTATTTCAATTCCGTCTCACTTGCGCATGTAACACGTGAATACTTTTTCTGATTTATAAGAAATTGATACGACGTATTACGATGGATAGACTGATTACATGGAAAGTGTCCTCTTTTCAAAGATTTTTCTTTTGTTTGGGGGACGTGCGCATCGAGACGAGAGGGGATACCCGAAACTCTTCAAGCTTTCCCGTTAAATTTTAAGCTCCTCGAAGCGTGTCGAAGGAAGGGATCTTTAGCTTTTTAAGGATATGCACCGTTATATACATATATATATTGTAAGATCGTTACTACTTAAGGCATGTGCGAAAGTGCAGGTTTCAAAGTGTCAGCTTTAAGAGTGCTAGCGGATCAATAGTGGCGTTTCACGATAGCGAACGTGACGACAGGGAGCGATATTAGCGTTAGATACGTAGCCCTTAGGAGCTCTAGTTTTGTCTTCTTAATTTCTAAGTGTGAGTATATACTGTTACTGAGTATGCATACTGCACATACAGCAGGGGGGGGGGAGCAGAGAGGGGGGTATGTTATACGGATGGGTGTCACTCTGAGGAGGAAGACTTAGCGAGTCTCGCGAGAGAAGGCATAGAAACGGCAGAATGTAGGGATGACGACGTTAGTAGTTTAGTAAATCATTGTAAAAGTTCATTGTAAAAGTAACGCTTTATAGACCACAGTCGACGATGAGGAACGATTTTGGTCGAATTTCGAGCGTCTGAATCCGGCGGCCGCGCGCTTTTCTTCTGTCCCGTTTCTTCTGTTTAAACGTTTGATTGATGTTCATTTAGGAAAAGCAAGAGAGTAACGAGTTTTACACTTCACATTTTTATTCAATTCCGTTGATCGATTTTCCGCAAGTAGTTGGTAGCGTCTTTTCTTTTTTTCTCCAATCGTACAAAAGTGGGGATAAACGATAGATCTCGTCGCTCTGTCGAAAATGTAATGGGGAGCATTTGAACGGGATTTCTTTCGCTGAATTCTAATTCGGACGTTTGATATTTGCGTATCGACTGTCTGTTGATCCACGATTGTGTTCCATCCGCAACTCGAAATTTCGATTCAAGTGATGTAATAGCAGCGAAAGCTGGATCTCTGTTGAGAAATGAGAGTTTTTTTTATTATTGAATAAAATACACAATAAGAAAGTTACATTGGAACTGCCGGGTGTACCATTCTTCGTTAAAGAGATTTGGCGCTTCGTTTTCACGTAGCGGAATTTTGTTAAGAATATATGGCACATAGAAAAACGTAAAGCAGTAAGACGTAGGCAGTAAGCAAATCGGCCAATCACACGAGAAAACGTAAGGCTATAATCTTACTGCTTGTGCCTTATTGCTTTACGTTTTTCTATGTGCCATGGGCTTTAGTTACATCATATTACGTTATTTTTACTGATTATTACTATTTTTTTTAAATGTCTATTATTTTACAGACACTATAAATATCAAGATATTCGTAGCATTTTTTTTAGTGAAGACAGGCTTTCGATATATAATAAACGCTCAAGTTGTTTCTGCAAAGGTTCAGCTTCTCGAATGAAAGTATCTTCTGATAGCGCGAAGTAAACGTCGGGAATGAACATTCCCTCTCTGCGAGGCACGGTACATAGTATCGTGGATTAACATGTCGTATTTCCCGATATTTGATATCCAAATCGAATGATTGACATGTTCTCCTTCGAGCCGAAAGAAGCGAGCGAGAGAAAGAGCAAGAAATGTGACCCTCATTATATCTACTCGTGACAAGAGCGAAGAATGTAAAGTCATGGAATTGTTTCTTATAAACATTAGCGAAAGATAACTGAAGTTTTCGCAAGACGAAGGAGAGGCAGAAAAAATTAAGTTGAAGAACTCGTTGCAGCTGACGATCTCAATGTTACACTTTCGCTTAAGAACTTAAGTTAAATATAATTGTACAATTGTAAGACTAAGAAAATTATAACTAATATAACTTGCCTTTTTGAATCAGAACTCGAGAAAAATTATATTCAACAAACGCGATTCTTTTAACGCGAAAAACTCTCGCGTTAAGAAAATCTTTTCAGGTGAATTTCATTAGATTGATTTCTATACTCTCACAGCCCTCGAGTCCTTCGAAAACCTGAAAATTGCACCGAGCATCTTCAGTTAAATTTCGCTAATATTTATGGCTACGGTTTGCTTATTCGGAGAACACGTAATATCAATGCACTGATAAGCCATGATATCCCACCGTTATAAAGAGAAAACTCATTATACATATAGACTTTCTTTATCTACAAGTGCCTGGCGCTTCGTCCGCGCGTATGACGTCTGCAAATAATAATGTTGACCGCAAGTATCGACTTTCGAAATTCTAAAAGAGAGAACTAGAGCGAGCGAGAGCGAGCGACATAGAGCGTAAGAGAGAGAGAGAAAAAGAGAGATAGAAAGAGAGTAAGAAGAGAGAAATAGGTGATTGTAGATAAGTATCGAGAAGCGCTGTCGATAATAATTAATTAATTAAACTCTAGACTCACATAAGTCTAGATGGATATAGGTACTTGTTAAGGAGCGAGGGGATGCTACGAAAGTCGGCGAGTTTTCCCAACTGACCGCGCCCTGAAAGTATAAACTTAAATTATATCTGTTAAAATATGCCTCGTCAAAATGGATTAATATTAGGTGTAAGATATATATACATATATAATACATACATATATATGTATATGTATATATATATATGTATAAAAATAAATATATATTGTGTACGAAATATATGACATATATTTATGAATGTCGGAATGAGTAAGTTTAACTATCAACCTGATGATGTATGTCGTACATGATCATTGGATTCATTAGTTTCGCGGTCTTAAGCACGCGCCATGCACAATACATGTATAGCATCGGTATCGTTAAATATTGGTAATGATATAGGCCACGTAAAAAAGATATTTGGCGACGCAAAAAATCGGAGCGAGACGGAAAATCGGAGCAGACAGCGCGTTGCGAGCAATTATATGAGCCCTTCTATATTATCATATTAAATGAATTATTGAATATTTGTTATTGAGCAATGCGAACGAAAGGGATTAGACAATAGCCGGAAGTCGTTACTGTTTGCTTGAATGATCGTTGATCGTCTCGGACAATAATTTTGTTCTGAATCGCGTGCTGCGAACTTCCTTCGAGCTCGAGATCTTCAAAGGGGTTTCACTCTAAAAAAAAACTCTAGAAATTCAATAATCGACTTCCCGAACATATAATAAATAAAATTTAGCATTAATATATAATAAATATAAATATAAAGGGACAAAAAAGTTTTATATAAATCGTATTTTTAAAGAGACTAATTATTTTACTCTGAAATCGCCGAGTTGTACAGATTAGAGGCACGGAATTAAATAACTCGCTAATTCGTTTACATTGCTCGATATCTGACTCCACAAAGTCAGCCGGCAGAACGAAGAACACCACTGCAACCACAAGTCCTGTAAACTGCGCATCTTTATAAATTATAATATAAGCCTCCGGTGTTCTGAATCTTTGATCGTTGATCGAGTAATGCAAATGCCGCGAGATGTCCATCTCACGCTTATTAAGGAGATCGATATAATTGGCGATAACAGTTGCATCCATTGAAATTACACGATATCAATTTCTAATCTGCCGTAACATTTCGGTTTGGGCACAATCAAACTTTATTTTCAAATTTAGAAAATTTGTCTGACTATCGGTATGATAATAATAATAATATATATTTGATATAATAATATAATTATATATTATAATTATATTATTATTTTTATTATACTTATGATTTTAATCGTGTATCTAAAAATTTTTTATGCGACTAATTTAGAGTATACACGATATTCCGTACAGCAAATATACATGTTTCTCATAATCGGACAATCAGATTTTTATATCGTTGAAAATAATTGTTAAATTTTGACTTTTATTATTAATTAAATTCCATTATATTTAATGAATAATATGTTTTAATTTTTCTCTGAATTTTTATAAAATATTCGAGGTGTTACGTTTTTGTTAATCGCTAATTATATATCTGCATTACGAATCGATCGACGATCAATTCATCATCTGAGAATGCAATAGGGAATCATAATCGATCACATCCGTGATCTCTATACGCACTTCTGAAGATAGGCTTGTGCCAGCGATGATACAATACACATGCGTGATATATAACAATGCATGAATTTACTTACTAATAACTTACACGACGCTATATTCTACGAGATTAAGGAATGGGAGTCGAGCAAAAGTCCGCAAATGTGTAAAGACGAGCGGATCGTTTTGTGTATATAACACAATTCGTTATATAATTGTGTATATAACAATATTCGTTAATCGAAGTTCAAAGCAAAGTAAAGGGCCGAATTTTAAGACTTCATCATGTAGAATTTAAGGGAAGTTATGTTATATATAAGACAATATTTTGTGTAACACGGGCGTTGACGGGCTTTCCGAATCGTTTCTCTGTAAAGTAGCTCTGGAATCATCAATACTTCTTGTCGATACACTTATTCTATTAAACTTGTGTCTCTCATATGGCTTTATCATTTTTTTTAACTCACACACTTTTTAAAAATCTACTTATTTATATTAAATCTACTTTAAAATCTATATATATTTACAATTTAAGAAATAAAATTTTGTAATTTCATTATATTTGAGGTGTACATCAAAATTTAATATGGAGAGAATGTTTTTCTCAATATATAAGAAATTTACAAAAATGCAGATAATGGAGATCGGAAAATGTAATGAAAAAATTCACAAAAAATGGACATAATGAAGATTGGATGTAATGAAAAAAATAGAAAAAAATTCTTGAATAACAATAAGGATGTAATATGTAATATTCTCAGTTTACGTAGTTCCTTACATTTCCATGTCATAAAAAAAGATTTGCACACAGGAACATTTTAAAATTGTTTAAAAGACGTTTTAACGCGTATAAAGACTTTGATAAAGACCTTGATCTTTGTGTTATTTCCTGCAGAAAAGATTATAGCTGCAAGAGTCGGCGACAGAGGCTTTATTTGATTCCTCGAAGTACAGATCTCTGGTATCGTAGATGTCAATTGATGGAATTAACGGAGTATCGATAATAAATATTGATCGTTTTGTAGAGCCGCTGATAAAAGTGACGCTTCTTGTTCCGCAAATGCAATGGACGAACGTGACACGGCGAAAATCTGAAAGTGGTGATGGTCGACGAGCGAGATGCCTTCGTCGGGGACGAACGCGCGTCTCGATTTCTGATGCCTCGTCGATCTGTGTCGTCAGTTTTAACTATAACTGAAAAGAGAAGAGCGATCGTGTGTGTTAAATTACGCGACAAGATCCATGTAATAGTACGTTTCCGATAACTTGGGCACCAGGCTCGGTCAAGCGAATTAACTCCGCTTAACTAAACCCTTCTTCTGCCGTTGTAGTTTCGGATCCCGTTGCGCACGTTATAGTTGCGGCTGTATAATCTAAAACAAAAGACTCGCAAATTGTTAACCGGAGTTAATTAACACGGACCGTTGACCCTTTCGAGTTAACTGTTCCGCGCGTACCGTGGAGATAATTCGCGAATAAGAGGAAAAAGTGGGGAAAAAAAAGAGATACTCGCGCGCCTGACGCCGGGAAGAGATAACGCGACGATAAATTATGCGATGAATTAAACGGAGCAAAAATTTTTGTAAGTTATTTCGAAAGTATAGACGCTGTGACATACAATTCGCGCCCATATTCACGTTGACTTTGAGTCAATTGAAAAAAAGAGGGTATGCCATATACATATATATAGATAATTAAATACGATTCTTGAATGTGATCGAAAGCATCACTGAGAGTTGAAAAAGGAGGGAATTCGATTCACTGGTACACGCTGAAGAGGATATACAAAATAAATATCTCGTACGGTAATTCGTACGGCAAAATCGGCTCAAAAAGAAAAAAAATACTTACTCATTAGATTATTAATATATATAACGTCGCGACGTTATAGATATGTAGCGATTACAAGTTTCATCGTGGTTTTCAAGAGCGTTACTCACATTGTACATAAATTATTTACACGCACATACACGTGTTGATAAAAAAAAGTAGCACAAGTAAAACATACTAATTTTTTACTTGTGTCACTTCTCTGTTAGCGCAGCGACACACACACACACACAAACACACTTATGCCCCACATTGAATAATACCTCGACTGACTTTGTCCCTTGAACATTATGTGTGTGTTTAATATGATGCAGACAATTCCATGTCCGTCATAAATTATCGGATAAATCGAATGTCTTCGTGCTCGGCATGTCGCTCTAAACCGATCGTGATGAGGGAGTAATGAGAGAGATAGCGCGTGGAAAAGCGGTTCAGAGTAAAATGCGGAATACGAAGACTCGACTGTAACATGTATCACAGTGTACGGGTTTAATCTTACTTTTAGTCTTTTTCGGATCTTAATTATGTATAGATTTTCTAGACCATAAAAAAAACTTAGTCACGTAAGATTTATTATGGGTGGCATAGATTTAATGGATCTAAATAAACTTCGAAAAAATCTATTATTGACTTGTTTCCATTATCTTCTTTTTTTTTGGCTTTGCGCGAAAAATATATTATAAAGATCGTTGATTTTCATTATAATAAATTCTCAAGAAAAATAATTTATATAATTAGGTATATACATATAATTAACACCAGTATGTAATTTATTAAAGTTTTTTTTTAATTGGCACTTTAAAAAAAAAGAACATTGAAAAATCGGTTAAAGCCTATCAAACGTACAATTTACGAGTTTATTTTTCGAAACTGAAAGAAAATTTAAGTTTCATAACTGTCTATCGTTTTACTCGTTTTAATCTTTTTAGATTTAATAATTTAGTTTTTCATAGAAATGTTTTGAAGAGCAACACACATCATATACTTTATCAGACAGAAAGGAAATTAGATCGAGTAATAATTTAGGAATATATATAGGTACATATTTTTTTTGTTAGACAACTTTTTCATTTGTTTTTTAACATTCGTATTAGATAAAGGATTTTCTACTTTTTTTATCATTGTGGATAAATTAAAGTATCGTGATTTTGTAAATATATACATACATCTTGTATAATGATGCAGTCGCAAAGAATTAATAAATTCTTATTACTATGTAAATTATATTATTTGATCATTGAAGATGTAATTATTTTTTAATTTTCTACTTGACATTATGATATTTTATACTTTAATATTTTATATATATTCCGTAAAATATCATTTTTTATCTAACGCATGCGCAAAAATTCAATCCCTGGGAGTGGGATCATGCGGAAGTTTACGCACACGGCACTGGGCACATGAGCAGTGAACACATGTTGCCGATGTTGCGTGCTCGTAAATATAAGCTCGATGTTAAAAAAGGTTAGTATGTTTAATAATAGAGTTATCAAACTTTTTATAAAATAAAAAATGTTGTACGATTTAATAATTTACTTACTTGACTGATTTCTTTTATACAATTCTTGCAATTAATACAATATATGTTACAATATAACCTATTCTTGTAATACTTTGCTTTTGAAAAAGAATAGAATGGATGACAATTGGAGTATTTAATTTCATGAAGAAAATCTTATTTTATAAATATAACTATTACAGGAAAAGCGTTATTAAGACAACAATTTACGTGTTATATCTACAATTAAATAAATAGACGCGTTAGAGACACTTTAATCTTAACCATCAACCGGCGAAATACAGGTAAAAATATCATTTTATCAATATACGTTGATTGCTGGACTATTCTTAATGTTAAAAAAATATGATCTTAGATCTAATTGTGTGCTTATGTTAATATTTATGGATATCAGGCAATATGGAGCCAATATCAGCCTTCTCCGTGTATGAGACAGAATGTAAAAACACAGAACAGTTATCGAGTGAAAAGAAAAAGAAAAAAAAGTTGCAAAGAGCTTTGAACAGAAAACAAAAGGATGTTAAACAAACAAGCGTAAAGCAACAGATACAAGACAAAGGTATGTTGAATATTTTTATGAAGAACAAGGACAAAGGTGGTATTACTAAAAAGATAGTCTAATAATTTAAATTTAACTCCTTGTCTCTTTCTGTTGCAAAAGGGATAAAATCTACAAGAAAATTGAATAGTGTCAATAATAGGACATTAATAAGCAAGATAAATAACGTTCGAATTATGCATAGAAAATTACAATTAAAAGCTATGAGGGAGCATAAGAAGAAAAGTAAAAAGAATCTTAACAAGAGAAAAACTATTCTAATGACTGATGCAGGAGTTACGGAGAATAATAGAACAGGAAGCAGTGAGAACGATTTAAATATAGACTCGAATCATACGAGTCATTCAAATAATACCAGCATAGAGATGAATGAAAAATATGGTGATGTTTATCGCAATCCATGTATGGATAGTCATCAATTATTGCAGTGGCTGTTGTGTCCTATGCATGTGGAAACCTTCTTGGAGTAAGTTGGAATTGATAAGTATAATTATTAATTATGTTGCATTATGCATTAACGTCGATCCTTTCATTCGAATCAGACAGAATTGGGAAAACACTCCGATGTATGTGAAAAGGGATACTCCTGATTATTACAAGAGCCTTGTATCGACGCCTTTATTGGACGAAGTGTTGAGAAAGAATCATATTCAGTTTACTAAAAATATCGACATAACGTCCTATTCCAATGGCGTGAGAGAGACTCACAACCCTCCTGGTCGTGCTCTTCCAAGCGTCGTTTGGGACTACTACCGAAACAAGTGTTCCGTGAGAATGTTAAATCCACAGACATTTATACCTAGGATACACGCGTTAAACGGTAAAAGATACAGTTATATTTTTCTGACGATCTTTATTTATTATTTCTTTTTAATTTGCAACACGTTTATTTTGTAGCTACCCTCCAGGAGTTCTTTAATTGCTTCGTTGGCGCCAATTTGTATCTCACGCCACCTAATAGCCAAGGTTTCGCGCCTCATTACGACGATGTGGAAGCATTTATTTTGCAAGTCGAGGGTCAAAAGAGATGGAAGCTGTACAAGCCGCTTAACGCGAACGAATATCTGCCGAGGTATTCGTCCAAGAATTTTGATCAGTCGGAGATAGGAGAGCCTATACTGGACACGATTGTCAAAGCCGGGGATTTGTTGTACCTGCCACGGGGAACCATCCATCAAGGAGTGACTCTCGGCGATACCCACAGCTTGCACGTCACGTTGAGTGTGTATCAGAAGAACAGTTGGTGCGATTTCCTCGAGAAACTACTTCCGCAGGCTCTGAAGCAAGCCGCCGAGAACGATGTCCGTTTTCGCGAGGGTCTGCCGCTGGATTGCTTAACGTACGTCGGCACTGCACACAGCGAAGGTTACCGCAAAGATGTTTTCAAGAATAAGGTTAAGGATTTGATCACTCTGATGTTAGACCACATTGATATCGATAACGCGGCCGACTTAATGGCCAAGAGTCACATCCACGATTTTCTGCCACCCTTCGTCTTTAAGAGCGAACGGAAGTGTACGGTGATGGAAGACGGCGAGGTCATGACCAGCAATGGGCTTGTCAAGAATCACGCGGAGATTACGCTTGAGACAAAGATACGATTATTGAGATTGCATTGCATAAGGTGAGTTGTGGTAAGTTAATTCCTAATCCATTTTGAAAAGCGAATTCGAGACACGGGGACGATAATATCATGTAACTGTTTTATTGTATTATTAGGTTGATAAAAGAAGATACATATAAGATCTATTACTCTACCGAAAATTCCAAAGAATATCACGAATATGAGCCACAGTTCTTGGAAGTTGATGAAGAATTTGTATCTGGGATTAAGCAAATGATAGCAGCCTATCCTGAATTTATATCTGTGAAGAAACTGCTAATCGAGACTGACGACGCAAAGGTATGAAAACCATATGTTGTTTGCAATATCTTGTTAAGTATTGTATATGTTACACTTGCGATTAATACAACTCTGAATATATTATAGATTCAAATAGTGAAGGATCTGTGGGAAAAAGGTTTAATCTCAACGGAGGACCCTCTATGTTGAATTGTAAATTCATTTTTTATAAAAAAAAAAAAACAAATTAAGACGGAAAAACTGTGACGGAAAAATGAACAAAGCTTTTCGTTACAGTACAATATCTAAAATATATGTTGCATAGGTAATTTATCTGCTTCGAAAGGAAATTTTTCATTGTTTTTGCATGAAGCGGACAATAGCAATGTATTATACTATTATAGTATTACAATGTTACAAGTAAAAAATTGCGTACAATGATTTTGGTCTTGTTATATTTTGTAATTCGTATTAGCTTTTACAATATATTTTAAATTTTACATTTTAAATCTTTTTCGTTTATATACGATGGTTCTTAATGATATATCAATGTTCAGAAGATAGATTTAGATTTCTTGCATTTTATGATAAAGGCTGATATACATTTTTTATTCATATCTCTATTTTGTACTATTTGTTTGCTCTTTTACATCAAGTCGTTTTTCATGTTCTGTTTTACTTTCTGTTTCTTTTCTTTGTTTTTATTTCCTCTTTCAATATTTTTTGTTTGCGCTGTCTGAATAGTTTTTCGTCAGGATTTCCTTAATTTTTTTCTTCCGTTTTTTTATCACTTATTTTACGAAATAAAGTATTGACATATAATTAAAAATCATTTTTTTCTTCCGTTTCTTCATCGCTTTTAAATTCAATTTTACGACATAAAGCATTGACATATAATTAAAAATCATCCTCTGTGATGCAAATTTATATTTAAAATCTTCACGTTTCGATTCTGAGCTTGTTGCGTTTCTCTTGAGCGATATGATCCCTTTGTCTTCCTAATACATACTCGACATATTCTAGATATCCATCGTTGTTTAAATCATCCTCTTCCAATACCTTATCTACCAGTTCTAAACCAAAATGATAATATAATTACCATATACTTTCAAAAATTCGGCTTATATATTTATCATATACTTAAAAAAATTTGGCGTAAATGTATATCTATCTTTTCTGAATGTGTGGAATTTAGTAGACGTACCTATAATCAAGTCTTGATCCGATTGTATGACATCTTCCTCGTCATTCTCGTGTAACGTATGTTGAAGAGCGTGAAAAATTTCTAATCCGTCTAACTTTGTATTATTGTCAACATCGTGAATCCTATAATTACGAAAATATATTAGCAGTGCGTAAAAGATTTAATAAACGTGAATAAATCAAGCGATCTCTGATGTCTCAAACGTACTGAAAATAGTGGAACTCTATTTCTTGTTCGGTCATTTTCGAAAAGTCGAGTTGATCGGCTATGGAACCCATGTCTTCCTTCAGATGTCTGTAAAACGTTACATAAAAACATTTCGATACTTAAATATCTTTGTAATCGACAGTTTATTGTACGCATATTAATAAGATTTTTGAAATTATTGATGCGTTAAATTTTACGTAACATAAATACATGAAGGAATTTATTATGGAACGGCAAGTTTATTTAGAGAATTAATTTGTCATTTCGATACTTAAATATCTTTGTAATCGACAGTTTATCATACGCATATTAATAAGATCTTTAAAATTATTGATGCGCTAAATTGTTTTACATAACATAAATATATGAAGGAATTTATTATGGAACGGCAAGTTTATTTAGAGAATTAATTTGTTTCTCACGTTGTATCGTGAAGGAGCTGATCGTCTTGCGTCAGTTTGAGTGCGTTGGTGTCCGGTGTGTAATGATGATGGGATACGCTGCTCCTTGGATGATGTGGTCCACGAAAGTGGCCGATCGCTAGGCCGAAGCAAAAGTTGATTAAAAATATTGTCCTCATTCTGCTACCTGAAACACAGTTGTTACTTTGATGATAATACTACATTCTTTACATTAAATAAATATATTAACAAATTAAAGGATACAGATTCGCAAGATTATAAATTAAAAATAAGTAGGAATACAAATAGGAGTAATGAACCAAGCTAGTTGACAATGTTTATTATAATATTAAGAATATATCAGACAAGAATATATCAATTATATATGTATAAATATATTATAATTGATTTATTGCAATTGGAAATGTTTTGACTACAAAGCGAATCATCTTCGGTGCGGTATAAATAAATAATTCTACTACATCATCTTTGGTTAAAGTTTGTTTCGGAATCGCAGATAAATAATCGTTTTGTGGTTGTTAATATATATAAAATTCGATGCCCATAAAAAAATCATGAATTTCGGAATTTCCATACGCGTATCAAGCAAGATTGATATATTCTGAATTGGATATCTTAAACGTATGATCAGAGGAATGATGTATGTACGTGTACTTCTTAAGAATGTGTTTAATTAATTATATGGATAAGTTTTAATCAGAGATTATATAACGGTAGAATTATTTATTTGTATTATCACATTGAAAATCTTTGTAGGTCGAAATATTTGTAATTGTCACCACTTAATTATATGTTTGTTTCTTAATATTTTAATAAGTATTGTCACCTAGTTTGGCTTATTAATTCTGTTTGTACTAATTTTTTATTTAAATAAATGCGTCTATATAACTTTGGAGAAACCTAACGATTATTGGATACGAGCCTCGCGTATGAGCTTAATCCGTGCGGATTTAAATTGAAATAAGATATTATAGTTTGAGAATTGCATTTCGCCGTGGTTTGTACACGATCGGGTGTGTGGCAGAGTTCGGAAAGAAGTATTGCCGAAGGGCGTCTCCACTCCGCGACATTCCGTACGGTGCCCATCGACAATGGGACCTGCTGGGACATGTTCATCGGGTGTGTCGCCGTGTGTGGAGTGCCTGCTTCTTCCGAGGGTCGTACACCCCGTCGGTCAGCGACAGATGGGCGGTAGAGGGGGTCCATGGTAATTATTATGCGATTACCCACAAGCCCATTGATTTAGATTGGACCCCAGGGGGGCGAGCTGCGCGATCGCGGGCCCGTCCCGATTTGTTACAAGCTCGAAAGTGCTCGTGGTACATTCAGAGATTTCTGCGTCCTCAAGACGGTTTAGTCGGCCTCGATTTTTTTTTATTTCAACATTTATTTAAGAATAATTGAAGATTTTCACTCTCGCGTTTTATACATCACAAAGAATAATATTTAAGATGTATTTCTCTTTAATAAAATATTTATCCTCATTACGAAGATGATCGAGGATTGAAACTATAGTTGTTGCAACACCCGTTCTTATTCACCCGCGTATGTAAAAGAAAAAAAAGTAAGGGATGAGAGCAAGTACCGATGTTGTACGTAGGTGTTAAAAGACACGCGAGGCCGACACGAATACGGGGTACTTAGGAATCAATTTTATATAGGCTTACGGTGATCTCGAAGCGAGAATGCATATGCTAAGGGGAGAGAGGCGGGGGAGTCCCCCGGGGGTTTTCGATGCGCGAGCGGACCCCAAGGGGTCCCGAACGCACCCCAATTCCGCGCGCTCTCTGCGCCCGCCTCTGTCTCTGTCTGGGTGTCGAAATCTATAAATAATTTATATCATTTGGTCCATTCACAACGGGAGAGCCCATATGTACCTGTGTCGTCTTACAGGGGACCTGCACGCTCACTCGACATTCTCCGCCCCGATCGTCGGGATCGGCAACGATCTCGTGTTACCCGGTGTGTAACAAATGCACGGGTGAGTTTATGGATTTGATGCTGATCAATCGGTCGAGCAAGATTCGTATCGCGTACAGGTGCTAATTGGAACCACGACAAAGATGCAGGTTTTCACCCTTTTTTCGCATGTTTGTTTTTTCAGTTGCGAAAAAAGAGCTTGAAATAGACCAGAATGTTCCATTAATTTAAGAATGATATTTTCTGTCTTTTATATACTTTAATATCTTGTGAAATTTAACGATATCCTCGTTGCACTATTTCGGAAAAACTTTGATAGGAACAATCATAGTCTAGACAAGGAATTAATCATTATTTCGTCAATGCAACTCGGCTTTAGAGTCGGTGCGACAAAACAATTAATATGTTATTATAGAGCACGCATAAATGTAATACATTATTTGTGTGCATGTCACGTAATTACATATTAATATATTATATTTATTTATATATCATTAACATGCTCGAATACATCGTATACATATATATATATATATATATATATATACGATACGATTTAAAATAAGTATATCAAACATACTGTTACTCGCGGTATGTATTTGTATTATCCAAGTGTATACTTATATCCGCAATAATTTTTTTATCAGTGTCATTGGGGCAAGACTGGACATATGTTTCCGCAATACGATATGTGAGACTGTCGTCGCGAAATCCGACGTGTTTTCCCGACAGTAATCCCCTAGCTGTTCGACATCCGCTGGCCGTGACTATCGGCGGATATCTCGCGTCTCGCAAGGCTGGAAACTACCCCTCGCGCGAAGGGTAGTCGCCATCCCCTCGGATAGATGGAGCGCCAGATCGTCCTGGTCTTAACCTGGGCTCCTCTCTCGGCCGCATTGCACCGGAATCTCGTAGCGCAGAACGGCGAACGCCCGGCATTTACCTTTACCTTATGTCTTCGACTTCTCGCGGTGCAGGCGGCGGGGTGCGCCGATCGACCAGGCCGCGCGATGGATCCGACCGCGCCCGCGAAGATCGACTGCTCGATCCGCAGCCTCCGCTCTCTCGATCCCCTGCGCGGGCTCCGCGAGAGACCCCGGTCGGCTCGCGCGACTTGATCGGCGAGAAGCGCGCACGGCGCTTATCGACGTTTTTCTAGCGGAGTTTGCGTGTTGGACGAGTTGCTCCGAACGCACGGTCGCTCTCTTTGAGCGGGCTCTCTCGTTTGGTTTTCGTCCGAATCCCTGCGAAAAGTCGGCTAATCCGATCATCTCGCTTCTTTTGCCGCGCGGAATAAGCGCGCGGATTACTCCGTTCGGCTCACGCTGAGCATCCACCGCCCAGGAAGGATTCGGGAAGCTTGGAATTCTCTCCGGAAACTTTCCCCGATACGGAGAAGCCGCAAAATTATCAGGGAATTTTACCGGAACTCAGGGACTTTCTGCTGAAATCGTCTCTTCGATGATCTTGCCTTTATTTTGCAAAAAAAAGGAGCAGGAATCAAATTAGCATGCAGTTAGAACGCTATCTTGTTCAGCAAATATTTATTTTAGAATATTTTCGTGAAAGAGAGGATTGAATTCTGTCTATTAAAAATATATTCTAAAAAAGTTAAAGATATATATACATATATATATATATATATATATATTCTATATGTGTTTAATTATGAATATTTAATGTTCTATATTTTTAATTAAAAAATATATTTCAGATTATATATATATATATATATATATATATATATATTTACCACACATTTAAAGTTTCCATATATACTGCACAATTTTTATATAGTATACTCTATAATTTTTCGAAAATAAGAGAAAAATTTTTATGCTAGATAAAATTTCAATTTTTATAGAAACTTTCCATTAAAAAAAAATCTATTTGCTACTTGACTTTGCCGCATAATTCTAAACGCAATGAAATCCACGCAGTGATTAAATCTGTTTTACATTCTTATGCAAAAGTGCTTTTAATTTTGTCTGGAAATATGAACGAGAATGTCTGAAAATTAGGAAATTCTCAGTGAGGTTTTTTCGCGTCTTTTTCATGAATATAGCCAATAAGTACTTACGCAGAGCTGTAATATTACATTTATACAAATTTAGACGAAATCGCGGCACAGTACCGGCGGTGATATTGTTGCTATTACATGCGGTTCGGTCCCCTTCATTCCGCACGGCAAGAACGCCAAAAGCTCCACGTGCGGAAACTCGGCCTTTTGTTATGCATTATTACGCAACTGTTTCTGTTACGGCACAGATATTTCCGCGGTGAATATACATTTTTGGGATATTAAAATATTCCGCTACGCATATCCACGTTTATACAACGGCACAAATAATGACAATATTTATTAATATCGTTGTTATTTACTTGCTGTATGAATGCACGTTTTACGCTAAACATAATAACTGTGTCGCGTTGTATCGCCAAAAATCGTGGCGTAACTTTTCTCGATTTCTATCGTTGAGAGAAAGAGAGAGGGGAGAAGAACGAGAGAGAGAGAGAGAGAGAGAGAGAGAGAGAGAGAGAGAGAGAGAGAGAGAGAGAGAGAGAGAGAGAG